CGTGGATCAAAGTCGTGGGGAGGTTTTGTGATAATGAAGTCGGCAGCAGCTCTCCAGACCGAGTGTCGCTCTGCTGACCTCTGCGAGCATTATTTGTTTAGAGCCCGGCTAATCCTCGATTGTCACGCTCCTCTAATCCCATCGCTGGCCTTCCTTCTGAATCCCACCGCCTCCCCCCTTTCCCCTCACACACAGACTTCAGAAATCACCACAACCGCCACTCCAACATGAACCAAATGTCAGCCTCAAATTATAGCCGCCGCTCTACCATAGGTCACAGCTCATCAAATGTATGTGGAGGACTGAGGAGGGGAAACTAGCAGAGGAGGCGGGGTTAATAAAAAACATACAACCTGTGCTGAGATTAAAGAAAGATGGTGACCATGTTTAACCACTTCTGTTTCTACCTCTGACCTTTAATTTTGGTCCAGAGTGAAAAATTAAAAGTAAAAACTCTTAGACCAACACACCTTCTACCTTTACTGTCCAACAGCGGCTGTCCTGTGGCGATGGTTGGGTTAACGGGTAAACTAGAAACAGGAGGCAGAACTGAAGGATCAGCAAACAGCAAAACAAAGAAACTAAAAGTAAAACTCAGTCTAAGGGAGCTCTGGCTAAAATCATCGAGATTCTGTCCAATTTCACTCGCCTACTCCTAAACAGGAAGCGGTTATTCGTTGTTGGTAACCCAAACTACAACAGGAAAATCCACCTGTTAGCCTTAACGTGGAGATTTGTAGTTAATAGTGCGATGTGGAGGACAACCTGTCTGTGACAAGATCATCAGACAAGATCAAGTGTACCAAAGCAGAGACGGAGTGAAAGTGGACATCTTTGGTCTTTCAACATAAAACTCAAAATAAACGCCGCTATCATCTGTTTATAACCCGGTGATGTCATGTTCTGTACTGACACAAGACGCCGTTAAACATCTCGAGTCAGGACAGTGGACGGTATCATTATGCATGTGGTGTTTCATGAGCATTTTAAAGATACGTTGTGTAGTTGAAAACTTTGACGACATTTTACCGATGAGTGTTTTCGATGTGTGCGGCTGGTTTTAATGTTTCTTTTACTCATCTTTCCTTTTCCCAGGCTCCACCTTTAACAGGAAACTGTACTCAGTGTAAATATTAGAGGTGGGAATCACCATACATCCCACGATACGATATTAT